CGGCGTTCGCAGTATATTAACTGGAACCAGTGTCCAGACAGTGTGAGTACACGATGTGTCTTTTTTAATAGCACTTAAAATTTTCTTCTCATTCTCATACGCTCAAAATTTCAAATCCATTGTATATATGTACCTATTGTAAACTATATATTAAACAATAAAAAGCCATTGTGAAAAATCAGTATCGTTGTGATTCCATTACTTTTTCACTTCGATACCCCATAACGAGACCAGTTCTCGCGCTTGCTTCACAAGCCTTCCGCCCAGAGTTTGCGAGACCTGCATTCCGTCTAGACTGACCACCTACGACGAATGCCCTGTTTCCGACTGTACCGGCTTCGTCGAGACCCGTACCTCGGAACAGCGGTTGATAGGCTCTGTTGAGACCGCTAATTCACTGCGCTTACCACTAGGTAACGCAGGCTAAATTTCACGGCTCCGTTGAGACCGCATTCTAATTTATTTAAAGCCAGTGCAAAGATTATAGAGCAAAGCTCGCATAACATTTACAAGGGTAAGATGAAACCCACCAGTGCTTCCATAAGTGCCACGATGAGCGATCTCGAGCCCTAAATTTATAAATCAGATCGTAGCTTCTTCCCAAACCCTGAGCTAGACGAATCCTCGTCGAGAAGGAACGGAGATCCCAGCTTACCGCGCCATTATTCCATGGCTAGAAATTGGCCTCAATGATTTGGGATCGAGGGGGATTATCCCTCTTTATCCTGCCTCATCTCGTGTAGGCCTGGACAGCCTTCGTAGGTGGNGTCTCCGGCATATCTGTAGGTACAAGATTATGACTTCTATGAATATGCGGGGTGTTCTGAAATCCTGAAGCTCGCTCGAAGGGTGGAATACGACAGTTTCTGTAATGGAAATAGTCTGGCGGCTCAAACAGAGTATCGGCAACGTTTCCTTGATAGAAGGCCTTGTGCAAGATTGTTTGAGAAAACTCATGCGACAACGATGGAGTCAGGAGCTTTAACTCCAAGATATCGTGAATTTGGCCGTCTAAGCAGGCGTAGGCATGATTTAGACGAAGTATTTTTTTAACGTAATCCTACTGCGAGTGTAAGAAGAGCGTCTGCTCATGTTGGTTCATGGTTGTAAAAAAATCGAATTAAATGCAAAGTCAAGCACAAAGATTACAACTAAAAAAATAAAGGAACATAAGAATTTAAATGATATTACGCGAAAGTGACAAACATTACAATGAAACTGTCACCATGAAAGATGCCTACTATGTGGAAATGTTAAAAAAAATTGTTGTTTTTTTTCTTTTTCAGGTACGTATTTGAGATCAATATTTATGAATGGGTCAACTGCTCGAGATATTCTGCACCACTTTAAAGCGGGACTTAATAAACCATTGGATTTAAACAAATTGTTTCAATGGATGGTCCCAACGTTAATTGGAAATTCTTTAAATTGTTATGTGAAGAATATGTTACACTTATAGATCTGGGTTCCTGTGGATTACACAATCTGCATGGTGCATTTCAAACTGTCCATAATAATGTGAAATGGATGATCCCTTAAAATTTTTTTATTGGATTTTCAAAAATTCACCTGCGAGGCGATCAACTTCATTTTACTGTCGATGTTAACATTAATTTTCTACCAACATATTCTTGTTCACACTTTCTACAGAAGCATTTCCATGTGAAAATATAAAAACCATTTTAATAATCATATATCTGCGTAAGAATTATTAGAAAAAATAGAACTATAAAATTGGTCTAATCTCTCTGATTTATAGTTTTTAAATTTTTCTACAAAATTAGGATTTTCTTGTACTGTTTTACATTGAGTCATAGCATTTTCAGCCATTTGTATGCTGATAAAATTTTTATCGGAAAAATACTGTAACAAATTTTTCATTCTCTCTGTAGCAATTGTGGGAGGATCTAAACAAGAAATATATTTTGTCATTGAATGCTACATCGCTCGAAATTCTTTTTTACCATAACTTTGATAGACTACAGTCTGATAAAAATTCTAGTTTTCGTTTTTGAGTAGCTTTACCCTCTTTTAAATATTTATGAGTAGGTACGAAAACCTATATCTATTTCAGAAGAAAAAGACTTAGGAAGGTACATTATTGAATACAGAAAGCGTGGAATGAAAGATATGAAATACCTTCAAAAGAAGAAATTAAAAGTAAGTGAAACTACCAAATACGAAATGGATATTATTAATAGACGTTTAGATAATTTGAGAGAAAATATTTAAAAATATATAGTTACTTTATATTATTTGTTGTTTATTTTTTGTTTCCTTTTACTGGTGTTGGATCATTTACTCCTATTTTTTTATCAGACATTTTCTTCTTTCATTTTTAAGGACAAATTAAACAACCTCGTAAAAGAGAAACCATTGTAAGAAGTTTTTTGGGTATAAAAAAGATTATGGAGCCCAGTTTATAAAATTTTTAATGCATAAGCACCAATTAATACGAGTATGTAAACATGAACTACAAGTGATCTGGACTTTTTTTTATAAGTCAGGGAAAACCTGGAAGTCAAGGAATTTTATATTATTTTTGAACTATGAACCCTGTATAGAGCTCCGGTAAGTTAAGCTTTATAAGAACTGCCAGTATGAGAGCGTGAATGAATTACAGCGTGAAAGCGTATGAGAGGGTTGCGCTCGCGGTTTGGTATTTTTTAGGAGAATTATAAATCGAAATGCGGTTAAAATTCGTGAGCTTTATTGGTTTAAGTATGTCGTGATACAAAGTATGCAATGCAGTAGTTGCTAGTTGCTATCTAACAGGAATCTTTGAAGATTCGGTCGAGTACATAATCTGGAGTAGATGCTCTGGTTGCTTGTATCGCGTGTCACTGATTATGCAGTGAGACACGAACGAAAAAGTTCAAAGTTTGGTTAATAAGTTGTGGGAAACCTGGGTTGGCATTCGTATACTGTTTGGGTGAATTCCGCTAGGCGGCCTGATGTTATGGTCCGGTTTAGTTCCAGAATTTTTTAGAACCGGAAATACTACGTCTTCGGTGCCGTCCGCGTCCGTTGGCGAGGAACTGCTCAGGATTTATTGATGCACATTTATTTTGTACACTTTTATTTTATAAACTTTTGCAACTACAGTTTAACGAACTTATTTACATCTCTACGTGCTACATACTATATACATATGGCCGCCTTTTTTTAACTCTTGAACACATAGTTGAGTGCTGACATCTCTTGGGGGACATCGAATATGTCCCTACTCTCCCTTCTAGGCCAGAATATTTGAGTTTGGCAATTTGTGTTTTTGGCGTTGCCGCAAACACCGTCTCTGTAGGCCAGTCAATAAGAGGTTTTATTTGTAACAAAAATACTAGTAGCACACGGAATGTTTCATTATATAAAAGACAGTCTATAGATATATGCTTATATGTTTCCTACTCCAATTTACCATTAACGAATCAATCTGAATGCTATAAAGAGACAATTTGTAGAGAATCCAAATACCAATAGAACGAGGTCGATCGATCCGATCGAATAATTAAAAACGAAGAGAATCCGAAAAAAATCGGAAAATTTAGCGTTTTTTTTTTAAATTCATTACTACACCATTTTTTAAGTTGTAGAGCTGACCCTGTGCACAAAAGTAGTGAATTACATGTACTTTAAGTGTGCACAAAGCAGGCGCTGTCGGACCATTAGTTTTGGCACAATTGCAATTTGAATTTTTTAGTGTAGGTACTATTTTACTAAGTGACTAAATGTGCGTACGTGGTGTAGATCGTGCTCCGAAACTTAACTCGCGTGCGGGTGGTATCGAGCAAGAAAAATATATAAAAGGGTAGAAAATAAACATAATTGGATGAAAGCGCATACGGAAGTGAAAAACACAAAGAAAAAGCAAGGGTAAGAGGATATAAAGATAAGAAAGGGAAATAGGATTCCAATTCCTACCTGGTAGGTGCCATATTTTTCGAGAGGTCGACTCGGAAGAGGTTACCTGACGCCGCTGAGGTAGGCAACACGTAATGCGGTTAGTAAAGCAAAGGAAATACAAGAGCAGAAATTGATACCTGGATAGGCAACACTATATACGGTACAGAGGTAACTAGTCCAGACGGAACACGTATGTCAGTAAGAGGAGAGTTAAGTTTCCTTCGAGAAGAAGATAGCGGTTCGGAGTTTTCTGACCATTCGAGCAAGAGAAAGAGAGAATCGATGGATAAAGATATATTTAAAAAAAGTAAGTTGATAATAAGATCACCGGCAAAAAGCACTACAAGCAAAGAGCAGCAAAGTGGCAATATGGAAGAAATCAAGATGTTTGATGTTATGATGAACGAAATTAAAGAAATGCGAAAAGAAAATCATGAATACCATGAAGAAATGAAGGAGATGAAGCTAGAAAATGAAAGAATGAAGATGGAAATAGAAGGATTGAAGAAGAGAGTAGACCAGTTAGAAACCATAGAAAAAACAATAGAAAGATTAGAAATGGATCGAATAAAGAACAATTTGGTGATAACGGGAATGAGATTAAAGGAGGAGGACAAAGAGGGGTTGAACTTTAGGCACTTTTTCAAGGAATGTTTGGACATAGAAACAGAAATCAAAGCCGTACAGAAGGTGAATGAAACAATATTTGTGGTGGAACTGGACAGCTTTGAAAAAAAAATGAAAATCATGAAAACGAAAGGCAAGGTGGAGTATTTAAAACGTGAAAAAATATATATAAACAGCGACTTAACGAAGGAGGAGAGAAGAATACAAAGGATTATAAGGAAAAAAGCTAAGCAAGAAAAAGATAAAGGAAACAATGTGACAATTAGATACCAAAATTTAAGAATTAATGGTAAAAGATGGAAATGGGATAAGACGAAAAAACTGCTCCAGGAAGAGATACAGGAGACAAAAAACTAAAAAAAAAAGAAAAACGCTGACTATAATAAAAAAACAGGCAACGGAAAGGACTACGAATAGGGGTAAATGAAATAAATAAGAAAAATAGAATAATTAATAGTGAGATAAACAAAGAAATGAAAATTGGAACCTGGAACGTGAGAGGAACTTTTGAGGAGGGAAAATTAAAGCATATTGTAAATGAATTAAAAAAGGGTAATTTTGACGTAGTTGCACTACAAGAAACGAAACAATTAGGGGAACTGGTAATGGAAATAGGGGGCTATATATTTATAAATAGCGGGGGAAAGGATAGACTACTGGGCACAGGGTTCCTAGTAAGGAAGGAACTAAAAGAGTTAGTAGTACAGTATAAATTAGTTTCAAATAGGATATGCCTTTTAAGGCTTAGAGGAAAGTATCAAAAAATAACTTTTTTGAACATACATGCACCACACGAAGAAGAGGATCTAGGGAGCAAGGAAGAATTCTATAACGAATTGGATAGATTATACGAAGAGATTCCAAAGTATGATATGAAAATTTTGTTGGGGGATGCAAATGCAAAAATAGGTAGGGAGGAAATGTATAAACCCACAATAGGAGATCATAGCAAACACGAAGTAACCAATGAAAATGGAAAATTCTTAATTGATTTTGCAAAGGAAAAGAACCTGATTATAAAAAGTACATACTTCCAAAGGANCAGGTAGAATTTGCTCCTTGCACTACACTTTCACAAAACACGTGTGCTCTGGCCGGCTGCCCGCTAGGAACTGCCCAGCTTACCACCCCTGCCTGCGACGAGCTGAAAGCGGTGACACGGATCGCCCTCACGCCTGTCTGCCGGTGGTTAATTCCCCGGCATTCTGGGTGAACGAGGAACAGGACTCCGTATCCAGCCCAAATCGCATCTGTATGCTCCGTGGAGAGTCGGAGGGACCGACGTCGGTAGGGACGCGGTGCAGCGTCGCCAATGTGCCTTACCCACTTAGGTTCGCTACCTCGGGGGGTCCTAATACCGGCTCGACCATCCCTTCGGTCGCCCCCACAGCAACAGACGATACCAACGACGAGGCGGGCCTTCCGCAACACCGGGTAGGTCCAGGGAGTAGCGAATTTGCAGCAGGGGTCGAACCGCGTGGGCGGCATCACCAGCCGTCCACCCCCTGCAGACCGATGTTGCGGGACGGGTAGCTATTCCTACCATTGACTCCGATGTCGATTTACGACATGGTACTGGGAGTGGAGGTCGAACTCCACGGGGAGCTTCTAACGTCTTCCCGAACTTCACGACCCGGTGCCATGGAAGAAACCGACGGGGCGGAGTTGAGAAAGGGTCGCGAATCGCTTCGTGGCGTCCAAGGGGGAAGTCGGATGACTAGTTCGACGTCTCCTTCGAGGGCCCACGAAAAGGGTGTCGTCACCGGGGATGGACAGGTACGACAATATAGTATATGGGTAATTCACTACTTTTGTGCACAGGGTCAGCTCTACAACTTAAAAAATGGTGGAGTAATGAATTCTCAAAAAACGCTAAATTTTCCGATTTTTCTGGGTTTCCTTTGTATCTAATTATTCGATCGGATCGAGCGACGTCTCGTTTTATTCGTATTTCGATTCTCTATAAATTGTCTCTCTATAGCATTCAGATCGCTTTGTTAGTTTAGGTTCTATAAGCAAAAAAACTTTTAAAAAATGCGTTTTTTACATAAAAATGTTCGTAAAAAATTAATTAATGGTAAATTGGAGTAGGAAACATATATCTACGGACTGTTTTATATGATAGCACAATCCCAATTTTTTTATCACAAAATCACTGATTTAATGTTCTATTGATTGGCCTAGGATGAGCGGCATATGTTGTCCCCGTCCGAAGAAAGACTCTTGGCAGTAATCTGCTCATCCGGTTGGCTTGACGGGTGAATTTATAAACATCGCTGAATTTCGTCTGCGGAGCCTCACGAGAGCATCGAAAAGATCGGTGAAAATCTGAGTTGAAATGAATTCTTTTTATGTAAGCGGAACTCTCTGTATTTTATATTTCTATTGTACGTCGGGAACTGTGCTAAATGCCCATCATATTATTTTGTAAAATTATTGCAGCTATTCAAAACATGTACTATCCAAAACGCGAATAGTATACATATGTAAGTGCAACAGAAAATACTTATATTCAGATTCATTGTCAAATTCAAGAATTACCTTGCATGCTCAGGTTGTTGCTAACATAGAGGAAAAAACTGATGAGGATGATATAGATGGCAAATTATTATTATATGAGAAGTTAAAAACGTAGGAAACAAATGTTAAAATAACTGATGGTGCAATAAAGGAGAATATTGTGGACATTAGGGGACAGTTTACAAGCACTTTATTATTACGAAAAACAGCAGTTTTGTAGCTGAATCTTATACATGAAATGGAAGCTATAGAAATATATACCTACTTACCTTTCTGTTATTTACATTATATTGGGACTTCATCGTAATTTACCAACTTTCCTCATATACCTAATGTAGTACTTATATTAAATATATTATTCTGTAATATAATGAAATAAAAGAATTTATGTCATTTACTATTGACAAAAAAAATTGAGCTGTGGGGTCAGCATGAAAGTACACACTTAATTGATAAAAAAATCTAGTTCTTTTAATAATGAGAAAGTGAATATCTATATGAAATTTCTGAGTGCAATTTTACAGTGGCAAATAACATGTACAGATCACAAACTGCTAAAAGAGAAAATTGTACAGGGTGTAAATTAAATAGGGGTCCATTTTTTAGATTGTTTACTTATTTTTGTGTATTTTATTTATCATTATTTATTTATTACTGTTTGAGTTTTCTGTTAGATTACTCGTTAAGTACTGTTTCACTGTTTATCTTATTTAAAATAATTAAATTTACATTTATGTGGGATAAGAGAGCTCCTTCAATAAAAGTAACATGCCAAAGAGCAGTAAGTACTTCATATTGAGTGGTGTGGAAATTATGAGATTTGACAACAATCCAGTTCCCAAGTGTTTTATACATTGCGATTAACATGTGCTGTTGTTTGAGGTCACACCAGCTTGTCCAGAGTTTGAAAATTACAAAAAAAGTGAAAAAAAAAAAATTACGATTGAATACGAGAAAACAAACTTATATGTGCTTCTAACAGTCAAAGGTAGCCACCATTTCAATAAAACCCCTATTTAAAGTTACACCTTGTATCATAATAAAATATTTACTTTAAATTGTTGCGATTCCATAAATGTTGAATACGCTTCTAAAATTATCGACTAGGTATTAGTACTAGTACCTAATGGTAATAATGACAATAACATCAGACATACCGCTAAATAAACTTAAGGCAGGAATTTATTAACTATATATATATATATATATATATATATATATTTAAATAGATGTTAGATTGCCAAAGTAAGAATTTAATTTCGATCAGATTCAAATTTCCTTTTAGATATCTAAGAGGTTTCACATTGAGGTCATTGCATTTTTTATTTCGTGTACTGAATAGGCCAATAGGCAAATTAGTTCAGACAGTCTATTTTGACCTCCAGATTCTGCCCTATAAGGTTGGCTACATATTTTAGAATCACCCTGTATAACTAATTATACAGGTTCGGAAAGTCCCCATGGTACATCGGCCGTTACGTGAGAGCGATAAAGTAAGTCATAAAAATCCGTGCGATAGATAAGGATGGTTACATTGAAGACGTTTCATAATCTGAATAGTCTGTCCCACTTCTAACCCGAAACGGGCGGTGACTATTCAGATTATGAAAAGTCTTCACTATCGCCATCCTTGTCTATCGCACGGATTTCTTTACTTTGTCGCTCTCATGTAAAGGTAGATGGACCATGTGGATTTTCCAGCCATGTATATTGCTAACTAAACAAATTTATTTTAAAAATAACCTAATTTTATCGTACAAAATTCTTTTTAAATTGTTAATTTGTCAACATAAAATTACACGACAATACATGCAGGATGTTCCAAAAATACCTGAACCTCCTTATAATCTTTCAGGATTGAGAAAAAATTTCAGATAAAAGTTGTAGGATATCAAGAAACCAAGATACTGATAACAGTGGATTTGACTTTGACTCTCAGTTTCTAGATCAAACCAAAGTCATCTTGAAAATATTAAATGAAACACTTCATTTTTTATACAGGCAATTGTGATTTTATGTCTAAGCATGGGGTTAAACATTTTTTTATATTTCCTTTGCAAGTCATGTCGAGGGTCAAATGCATTTTTCTTCGAGAAACTCGAAAAAATGCTTTAAACAAAATTTTATTGGATTTTGGAAGATAAATTAGATGGTGATCTTGGATTTGACCTTCACCACAATCTCCAAGTTCAAAGTAAAATCAACTTAATATCAAATGGAATACACAATTTTTTGTGACACCAACGGATACAAAGCAAAATTTTATTTTAGAATCTTAGAGGACATCATTGCAAGTTACTTGAAGATAAAATTAATTTTCCACAAAAAATAATGCATAGTTTAATAGATATGTTCAACTAAACTATTAGTATGATCTAATTATAGCATCTAATTTGTTATTTAAAATCATAAAGAAAAAATTTTTTTTGACCCTAAAGTGACTTGCAAGGACATACAGGAAAAATGTTTGACCTTATATTCGAACTAATTTGGTACTCTATCAATTGCTGGCATAAAAAATTGAATGTTCCTTTTAATATTTTCAAGCTGACCTTGATTTGACCTTAAAATTTAAGGCCAAGGTCACCAGCATATCTCTTGATGTCCTATAACTTTTGTTTGAAACTTTTTGCTAGAACTATAAAAAAGGACCCCGCACAAACCTTATGGGAAACTCCGTTCGGTCAATTTTAATGAAATTTTGGGAATAGGTTGTTTTTGTTATGAGGAACAAAAGTCTTCATGGGCCCAAAGTTCGCTAATGGACAGTTTCCGAGATATTCGATGTTAAAAATTGATGATGCGAATGCGTGTCAAGCACGTGTTTAAATGCTTATTAGTCGTGTAAAAGCTCCATGAAGCTTAAAAACTGTATAATACGTATATATTCGTCTAGATAGTGCGTATCCATTCGTTTGTGTGTGTGTGTGTGTGCGCGTGCGTGCGTGTGTGTATGTGTATACTTTTTATAAACAAATAAACGAAGAGGCTCGGAGTAATGCTATAGTAATACTTCTATATTCACGTGCAATCTGGTCAGCACAGTTAGCCATTCTTCTCGATCAATTATATATTTTATTTGAGTTATTATAGCGTATGATTGCATCCAAAATAACTCCAGAGTAACACCCAAGATAGAGTAGTCGAAACAACTTTAGGATACAGTTTCTCACGTGTTTTTAAATCAGTATTTCAAAATATATATTGAAAAATAGCGTGTTTTTAAATATACTACTTATTCTGTTAGAAAAAAAGATTCTTCTTTATTTAACACCATAGTTTAAATATCCAACTGTGAGTAATCTATCGATATCGATAGCAGAGAATATTTTATGTGAAGATATTAGAAATATTATACTATTATTTATGAGTACGTCAAATATTTAGAATGTTGAAAAATATCAGTTTCGTTGGACTTATTGTCAAATAGTTCTTAATCGATATTACTGTTCAATTACCATTCACTTGCAGTTTTTGCTGTGTCATACTCCCGATATTGCTTTGATCATTTTTTCACAGGTCTGGTGTGTTCATTTTGTAATTAGCAGTTGAGCTTGTTGCAATATAAATGGCTTTCAGACTACAAATACAATGTTATAGTTGCGATCGGGCTTTCGCCCGGGATCGGGAGTATAACACCAAAAACTGCAAGTGAATGGTAATTGAACAGTAATATCAATTAAGAACTATTTGACAATAAGTCCAACGAAACTGATATTTTTCAACATTCGAAATATTTGAGGTACTCATAAATAATAGTATAATATTTCTAATATCTTCACATTAAAATATTCTCTGCTATCGATATCGATAGATTACTCACAATTGGATATCTAAATTACGATGTTAAATAAAGAAGAATATTTTTTTTCTAATAGAATAAGTATATTTAAAATCACCCTACTTTTCGATATATATTTTGAAATACTGATTAAAAAACACGCGAGAAACTGTACCCTAAAGTTGTTTCGACTACTCTATCTTGGGTGTTACTTTGGATACAATCATTAGATTGTTTTCACACGCACTAGCACGCGCACGCACACGCACACACATACGAATGGATACGCACTATCTAGACAAATATATACATATTATATAGTTTTTAAGCTTCATGGAGCTTTTGCGCGACTAATAAGCATTTAAACAAGTGCTTGACACGCATTCGCATTATCAACTTTTAACATCGAATATCTCGGAAACTGTCCATTAGCGAACTACTATACATACTTACGTGTCTAGTTTTTATTGAGTTGTGGCCTTTTAAAAAAAATCAACATGGCGGACCGATAGGGCCGGAAAACTTTGACAAAGTCAGGCAAAAAATAAGATTAGATTCGTATTTAGTAGGTCAAAATACATAAGAATAAGCTCTGTTCGCAATTCTTTATAACCTGTGTGACTTTTAACCAGGATAACTTCATTTTCATAGTGACTTTCTCGAAGTTTTCCGGCCCTAACGGTCTGAAATCTTGATTTTCTTTTAAAGGCTACAGGTCAATAAAAACGACACGTGAAGCTACCAAATGCTTTTGGTTTTGCTTCAATTTTTTGACAGATGGGGTGACCATTTTAATAAAGAATGCCCCATATATGTATAAATTTCTGTTTAAAAAATATGTTTGTTATAAATCAAACAGTTTGTAAAAAAATTTCACATATAAACAAAATATTTAACAAAAATTTGCCAAAAACGAAAAAACACTTTAAAAAAATCACAATATCAAGATGCTGTTTTCACCACATGAAAAGCCTAACCCGAGACATCTTGACCACTTTTTTTATAGTAGAAGAAATTCTAGAATTTTGGTCCAAACTGTATGGACAATCCCAACCTATACAACTTTAAAAATAAGGTTTAAGGAGTTGGCACACTTCAATTGTAATTCATTTAATCATTTAACAGAAGATCACATTTTTCAGTTCCTTTTATGATTGTAAAGAAGAGAAACCTATCAAAGAGTACTTAACTGGCTTCAATTATATAAGGTTGTATTATACTAACATTACTAGTGGAATATTCTTTGAAAGAATGGCATACTATAAACAGATCTTAATTACGTAAGTGTAAGTTTCGTTTCATATGAGAAATTGGAATGGAAATAAATTTTAATAATAAAGTTTATTCTTACATTTTACTTAAAATATCTACATACCGAAGAAAAATATAGTAGTTAAATCCTTTTAACTTACCTAGTACAAGTCAAATATTTATGTATATTATTAAACATAAAAAAAATCATAATAAAAAAATGATTTCAGTCTATAAAAGTAACTCTTTTTTAACCGCTGTGGTCATTAATACCTATATATATATTTTGTTTCGTTTTGCTTACAATTTTTTTTAAGCACTTTCTTCTTGATTGGTAGATACACAGAACTTTTAAAATAAATATAACCAGATTGTTTTTTTCTTTCAGTACTACAACTTTTGTTATAAACTTCTTTAACTTGGTAATTGATTATATAAATATAGATACCTTAAAATTGGTATATTTGTAAATACATTATAATTATATTACACAAAATGATATGATAAAAATAATAAAAATAAATGTTAATGCTAGCAAAAATTAGTTATTTGAAAAAAGAGAAATATTGTGATTTTTTTTCTTTACATAAGGTTATTCTGTTCACAAAAAATAGGCACGTTTTACATTCATTTGCACACTATAACTATGATTCACTAGTCATTACACTAACAAGGTTTCACATTTTTCAGTTCCATTTGGCAGTAACAATATGCAATATGCACATAAAAATTCCACTTTTCAGTATGTAATCGCAACATACGGCTGTTATTGTCCATTCGTGGTTAAACGGGCCAAAATTCTTCAATTTGTATAGTGATCAAAAGAACCAAGATATTCCAAGGCAGCTCGATAACAAAATTGATACTGATCCTAAAACAAAATGGAAATGACAAGAAATTCTAAAATTCTTCTTAAAAAATCTTTAAAGTTCTAAAGCCTATGCAGTTTAGTTGTAGACAAAATTGCGGGAGACTTGTTGCGGGGATAAAATTGCATGCTTATTATCACACAATGGACAGAATTGCTGCAATTATTTAGTATGCAATAGTGTTATAGTCTTTCCGATTTCAAATGAATACCAAAGAGCTAGGCATTATGTACCAGGTTCGGCATTGAAATATTTGAAAAACTTGTTCCCATATTTATTTAGCCATACCCATATACAGGTCTGGTCGCCAAGTTGAAGAATTTGCGGGTGGACAAACGCCTCACCGAATGTGATTTTTTTGGCCGAAGTCGAAGATATTTTTATTAACTTGAAAATTTTAATTAATAACAAAAAAATGATAAGATAACATAAAAGTAGGTCAAAAATAAATGCACAATGTTTTGAAAATATAATATATATAGGGTGTTAATTAAGTATGTACAATAAATTCAACAGACGATTATTTGAGTGATTTTAATACAAAACGTTCATATAAATATTGGCCCGCAGATGCTTCGTTTTCAAGATACAGGTTGTTAATCTTTTATAAAAAAATGTTATTGCGTAAATATCTTAAATACCCTTCACCCAATTTTGTTGTAATTTGGCTGTGTTATTTGAAGTGTTAAGGGGCTAATTTAACCCTAATTTGAATAGATTTGTTAAGTCCAGCGGCGTCCCGAACGGTACCTTCGGCTTCGGCGAAAAGTTTGGCTTACTTTTGGCCGAAGCCGATTCTTAGCCGAAGGTTTAAATAATGGCTGAATGTGGTCGAAGCCGATTAATCGGTCGGTCTCTAGTTGTCGACAAATTGCCTATCAGTGCAGTGCAGCAATGCGGAATTTGGTGTGATTTAGGTAATTTTAATTTATTATAGGCAGTTTCTATTAATCATTCAGATTACAATTGCGAAAGGGAGAAATAAGGGGGATATTTTGTTTACTAATATTACAATATGGCATTTTGGAGACCTTTTGAAACGGAACAAAACAAAATACCGCCCGACAATATTGAATTAGTAGAACCGGTTGTTGATGAAACAGATTTAAAATTTAAAAATAAAGATGTTCAATGTCAGCCGTCTGATTTTAAATATTTACGATTGTTTAAAAAAGGAAGAATATGAAAAGTCAGATAATGAAATTATAAATAGAATTGACATATTAACTAAAGTTTCAGTGTCCACAATTTTTCGAGTTATTAAACAAGGTGTTGGATCATTGCGTAGAGGAAGTGAAAACAAAAATTTCAAAATATCGAATTTATAATTTATGTAAAGAAAACTAGCTGACCCGGCAAAGGTTGTTTTGTCATATACGTTATTTCTAGGAAATATTTTTTTAGGAAATATTTTTTTTTAGGAAATATTTTAAAAAATAACACACTATAAGTGTGTGGGGATGTAATTGAAAGAGGAATGCAGCGTTGTAGACAATTAAAGTATACTTTATTTAAGTTAATAAATTATTCTTTATTAAAGTAACAAATATATATTAAATTACAATTATTGATAGCTATCTATACATCGAAAATATTTCATATTTCTACTACTAATTATGGCAATTAAAAAATAAACAAAGATTAATCTCTCAACGCAATGGATTGTACAATATTTTTGGTCAGTCCGTCTTTAGCGAATACAAACAAACTGGATGGTTTGCCCACGCGAGAACATGCCACATATAGTTGTCCGTGGGAAAAGCATGGTGTACCTCCCCGTACCCGGAGTGGGTAATTAGCGCGCCTGCTGCCTTCCTTGGATGTGGTAGCCGTTTCTCAGGCTCCCTCTCCGGAATCAAACCCTGATTCCCCGTTACCCGTTACAACCATGGTAGGCGCAGAACCTACCATCGATTTATTATTATTATTATTATTATTATTATTATTATTATTCCCTACTCCGCGATGTTTGCTGGTTGAGAAGTGACAACGGGAGACACCTGGCGGGGATAATTGATTGGTTGATAGAAGTATACATGAAAATTATAGTATACTACAATTATTATATTCGATTGCCATCTTGTGGATCTGTGGATGGAACAGAATAATATAAAAATCACGATTAAAAATTAAGGGTTGATCGTATAAGGGTGAAAATTTAGAATTGTATGTATTTTTCAATGCTGAATCATGAAAAAGTATAAAATAAAAACAAAAAATTTTGTCCAAAAAAAAAAAAATTTGGGGTGGACCACCCTTAACATTTAGGGGTATGAAAAATAGATGTTGGCCGATTCTCAGACCTGCCCGATAAGCACACAAAATTTCATCAAAATCGGTCCAGCCGTTTCGGAGGAGTTTGGCAACAAACACCGCGACACGAGAATTTTATATATTAAAGTACCAACTTTTAGAGATAATTACAACTAAATTGCGTTCTTGCCGAGCAGTAATATATTTTAATGAAAATGTAAATGTTTTTTGTTATGTCATAACCAAAATTTACCATCAATATAATAAAATTGTTTGGGGACATAAATAATTAAAATGTGTTGTTGGCCAAATGAACATATAATAGAAATTTTCTACACATATGGGTACAAATTATTATTTTTTACCTTTAGCAGAAAACTTTTTTAGGGACGCCTATGAAACTCATTAAATTTTATTGCTAGGCGATTTTATACATGTTCAACTGACTTCGGAAAGACTATACTAACTGTGCATTGTTTAACATGTAAAATTTCTTGTAAGTATCTTGTAAATATAGTGTGAAATTTTGCGTGAAACTTTCACGGAAATATTTCAACTTTTGAAACAAGCTTACGGAGATGATGCTCTGGGTTGTACAAAATGTTATAAATAATTTTCATGCTTTAAAATTGGTTGTCAGTCAATTGCTGATGATTCTCGACCAGTAAGGCCTTTGACTTCAACTGATGACTCCCACATTTAGATAGTTAAAGGTCTGGTGCGTGCGAATCGTTGATTGACTATCAAAGAAATTGCAGAAGAGGTTAGCATTTCAATTGGGTCATGCCATGAAAATTTGACTGAAAAATTTAACATGCATCGAAATGCAGCAAAATTTATTCCTCATTTGATGACTGAATAACAGAAAGAAAATTGTGTGGATGTTTGTCAGCAAGTTCTTGAACAATCCAATGATGATAAAACATTCTTTCAAAGGATCATAGGGAGAGACGAAAGCTCAGTTTACAGCTACGACATTGAGACAAAAGTTCAATCACATCACAATGGATTGGCAATTAATAATAAAGTTTAATAAATTAAAGTTCGGTTATTTTCTAAACAGACCTTGTAATACCTACCCTCAGTTCAGTTCATATTTTACAGCTCTTATTAGTTTTTTATTTTATTTGACTATTTGCCTTATGTTAAACTTCATTTGTTACTACAAACTACATTTCTATCTTTGCTCATTTATTTATTTATTTTTTTCAATTGTATAGGTATAGGTAGTTTTTGGTCAATAAATACTGATTATTATTTGTAATTATCACTATTTTTACCAACATAATAATAATAATTAATTATTATTATTATAAAATTAAATATGCTTTTAATTTTTTAACTTTAATGTAAATCAATTATGAGCATCACCAGTTTTACAATTTAAATACTCCACTCGTATTAGAGTTTAAATGTGAAGAAATTATTAATAGACATTTTATTGCACTCTGTGATGGAGAAGGGTATGCAGAATGATATCAAAAAATAACTCGAAAGAAGTGACGCTAACTTAGCAAATTGCAAAAAAATTACGTTTTTCACTTTTTTTTCTGCCCACGAAAATCTAGATGACCTATCGGAAAATTAGTTATTTTATGTTGTAGTCAATTAAATTACCTATAATTTTACCAATTTGTTAACTGTAAAATAATGGTTGAATGCGGAAAAACAGTTCTTGATAATTGCACAATTATTATTGCAAAAAGTGATTCCATTGACCTTGAAATTGTTGCTCCAAGTATTTGTTAATTAATTTAATTCGTTTTTTTGCAACTAATTGTTTAATTACTCTACATTAGTACAAGTACTACAAGTAGCCCTTTACAATTAACAAAGTGGGACGTGTAAAACAGCCTTATAAAGAAATTGTCCCGAGGTCAGGCAAAAGCCGCTCAGAAATGAGCTCTTTTACATTAAATAGAGCTTATTTTTACAGTAATTTAAAAAAAGAGAAGTCACCTATGCCTCTTTGTTCCCAAGATAGTTTTTTTTTTTAATATAACGTTAATTGTTACTTAACTATTGGACGTATCAAACTTTTATTTTCAGAAAGTTTTACATTGACATGCATGCACGCGGGAAGAGCGCCAGGCCCGTGTGTGCGCGTGAAAGTCGCTCTCGTCGCATGTGAGATATTTCACTTGAACGTTTCAAATTCTATAAAAAAATTACGTGCGCGATAGAGGGCGGCGTCTCCTTCCCTCACGTGCAGGCCGTTGATTAACGTTAAGTTTTACTGCTGCTAGCGCGTTTATTGCGTGAACTATCAATGTAAAACTTGTTGGAAATAAAAGTTTAAATCTTTCTTTAATTAAAAAAGTTATCTTGAGAACAGAGACGTAGATGATTTATCTTTTTTTTTTAAAGTACCGTAAACATAAGCTCTATTTAATGCAAAAAGATCGAATTATTCCCGAGCGGCCTTTGCTTGACCTGGTCAATTTGTTTATAACGCTGTTTTGCACGTCCTACTTTGTTAATTGTAAAGGGCAACTTAATTTCAACTTTTTGGAAGTTTTCTTTTTCGATACGTTTCATTGGATCTAATTACTTTCTTGATATTATCATTCTCCCCGTCATAAAGTGCAATAAAATGTCTACTAATAATTTTTTTAAGTTTTCAAGGTTTGTGATCTAAATCGATTGGAGTAAAACAACTCATTTCAGTACCATCATACAAAAATAAAATAATCTAGGTATCTAGGTGGTATTATATAGATGTTTTTGATTCTAGTTTGTGAAATGCCTTTTCTGTGTTGGAAAACAAAAACTTTTTCATTCATTTGAGAATGTTCAGTCGATTTTCAAATATTTTTTGAAAACTCATCAATATGCAAGGAAATTACCTCAACAACTTTTTTATCATTACACCTATACCGTGCTTTCACCGTACAACGCTACATAGGGAATTAGCTTTGTTCGAATTCGTAAGTTTGGAAGGGTGGGGAGCGCTGGGTGCTGCAACCTGACTGATGTGAGATGTGATTCCGTACGCCACAGTGCCGCACGTCCGCGCACACAGAGATCGACATCCCCACTGCTGAAGCCGCACGAGTTTGACCGACGCACCTCCTATGTAGTGTTTTCCCGTGAAAGCACGGTAGATATTTGGATGATGATATAAAGATAACACACACTCGAAAAGTAAGTTGCAGATATGCCCAAAGAGTAATTAAAAAAAACAAATTGAATATACTGTTAAACTTGCCTCCGTCTGAACCATGGCAGTCCTTTGTGTTCTTAGGACTCTAACAGTTTGAAATACATCTACTACACCTTCATATTGCATTCTTTCTAAGACAATGCTCAGTGTTATAAAAACTCCAGTCCTACCGACACCAGCACTAGAAAATAAATAAGAAAATTAGATGAATATATACATTTTTAAATTAATTCAATATAGGGTAATAAATATAAATAAAAAATATTCCACATATAGCTGTTATTCTTGGAAAGAGATAAATTTGTTTGAATTAGCTTAATACCTTAATAAAAAGTAAAAAGATGTGAGAGCTAATAATTAAATATATGTATTTATGAAAGAAATTTATTTATTAAAGAAAAATATTTTAGATAGAAAACAGTAAATGTGTTACTTTTGTGAAGAGCAAATTTTGTATTTGTGAGGCAAAGCGTAGCATAGTCGAGCGAATGCAAAATTGCTAAACAAAAAAAACACTTTTAATCCGAATAATGTCATTTTTTTCCAACCGAAATCCCTCATTTAATTATTAATTTGTGCTTTGAAAATATTCAAACCAAATTTGGATAATAAAGCAAAATAGGTAAGTAGGATATATCGATGTAGTCATGGATACTTTGTTAAACATTAGTCGCCATCATTAGGTCTATGGTCGCCCTATTGCTAATTGAGTTCATTTGTGATTGTTTGTGGTCAATTTGCTGAAAACTCTGTAAAAATGGAATCTAATGAAGATTTAGGTGTATCTGAGGAGATACTGGAGTGTGTGAAAGAGATTTCTTTGAATCTTCCAAAGAAATTTCGAGAAATTTATGAAAAACATTGTATTCAGAAGATGTATTGACGGTGTATTTCTGAAACTTAGTAAATAAAATGAAGCTGTCCACACCACAATATTCAATGTTGAGATCAACGTTGGATATAAAGAAGGGGATTGATATAAGCAAATATATCAGTTATGTGCTTTTTTCAAGAGACAAAATGAGGGATATGTACCGAAAAAATCGTGAGTATTTACCAAGGAGCAAGTTGATTGCTTTTTGAATAGTGTGCCTGATAATTTATATGTATTTGATGATGAAGGTAAATGCTTTAAAAATAAAAGAACAAAATTTTTAAAAAGCTTCTTCATAGGTCCTCCTAATTTTGGGCCGTTCTGATAAATTAATCAATTTATAATAATAATATAATAATTGAGAATGTTGAAGATGTGAATGTATGTAATTTTACTTTTATGACTTGTGTAGGCTCTCTGTTATGTATTTTAACGTCAATACAAAAAAATTTATTTTTTTATTTAAAACGATCGACAGTTAAATTTATGAAAAAGTTATTTCCCTAACATGTATATTATGTATTTAAGAAACATATTGGAAGAATACGAACCTGCAATGGACAGTAATTGGACCGTCTTGTCCAAACTGTTCTTTTGTTTTATGAACTTGACCTATAAAATCAATGAAACCTTCTCCAGATTTTGGTACTCCTTGTTCAGGCCAATCAGTAAACTGAAATTGTCTTACAGTTCTTGATGATCCATCTCTGGCATCTGTTACTTTAAATTCTCGTAAAATATATTGTGGCATATTATATTCAGCTATAGGATCAACAACAAAACACTGATATCTAACTGATCGCTCACTTGGCCAATATTGATGACATTTTTCCTGGAATAATACACATTAAATTTAGTTCTAGACTACATTTCAGTTACACCTGATCTCTTCCACACAATTTATTTTTTCAATGCATTAGACGATAAAATTCTCTGATTAGATAAATTATTAGATTGTGTGTAAGAAATTTAACCAATATTTGTTACTTACCCTTCCCATTTCCTTTAATTTAGTTAACATAACTATTATTGTAGAATTATGTTCCCAAAGCATTCTCCATAAGTCATCCATAGTGTCAATCATAGGACCTTGAGTGGCAATGTAAGCTTTGCGATACCGATAACCGTCAATGAAACTTGCATTAATATAATCGGATCCTTCAATATTCCTTAATGGAGTTAAACAAACTCTAGTGCTCTCAAAAGGTAAGATATGTACCAATCTATTCTTATGCTTATTACAAGGCAAATTTGCAGTAACAAAACGTGTTGAATCAGTCTTAATATTGCCAAGTTTCTTAAATTCATGTTCCATACCAGTTATATTTTCTCCTGGTTGCAATTGCATTAAATTTTGAATATGTGAATGTAAATTTCGAGCAGAAATCTCTGTTACACCACAAATATAGGCTTCTAGCAAAGCGTCATGTATAAATATATACTGGTCTTCTGTCTGCACCATATAATTTCGTTGTGCCCGCAAACAAGTAACATGTCCGTATATATCAACTGTTTTTTCATGACGTATCCTCTCTAACATCGAATCAATAACAATAAAACAACCTAGAAAATAATTTTGTGATGCAATAACAAATTTTTATACAATAATTAAAACACAAAATTCAAATATTTTTATTAATTAAATCAAGAGTGCATTTATTAGAAAAAATAACTTTCTCTAGAGTGCAAATTTTAAGCTTGCTTGATTTTATTTTTAGTTGCCAAGTTTTGAAAAATTCTATTAGTATTTTTTTTTAATAAAAACAATCTATAGGAACTATATAGAAATATATAGGAATATATATATATTGGAATAAATTTTCCACTAATAAATTTTTAAATTTGTACATATAATTTAAAACTGAAAAAATCTTATAGAAAAAAGTACAGTGGCATTTTGGGAGATATTGAATATCAAAAAAAAAAAAAAATAAAATTGTATGTGGTTTATGTGTAATTTTTTTTTAGGTTGAAGTTATTTGCAAATATACATGTTTTTATGACGTGTTTATTAAAAAAAATTATTTGGTTTTATTAATTGTATTAATAACCTGTACACACATAAATCTGAGCATCATATATATTTGGAACTCTTTTTTGAGATACAGGGTGCCAAAGTTAGCATTTAAAAAATATTTTTATTTATAATTTAGTTGTTTTATGAGATATTCCGTCGAAATCTTACTGAGACTCTTATTTTAGGCAGGCATACTTTTTACGTCATTTTTGGAAAAAACATGAAAGCGCAATGCATTCATTCGTTTTTTAGATAAAGCAATTAACATTAACCAGCCTGGAATACAGTGTCAAAGGAAGAACGAGTAAATGGCCAATGATTTTAGAATTATATAAGAAAAAAGTTACGTTGCCCTAGAGGTAGACAAAAATTGACACATATTGTACTAATTAGAATAATGTAATAAATAACAGCTTTGACAACTTTGACACTTCAAGTAACAAAATAATAACTTAACCTTCAAAAATCTTTCCCAGCACATTGGCGTGGCTGTTTATATATTTTTCGTTATGTCCCAAAAGGACCCCGCACTTTTCTTATGAAAAAGTGGTTTCAGTTATACTGGCTGAAATTTTTATATGTTACAGTTGTTAACTTGCTGACCGAAAGTCGCCATTGGCACAATATCCAAAAGTTCATAGTTTTCGAGTTATGTTGACTTCAGGGCTCTGCATTCGAATTGAGTCTGTATTCGAAACTGTGAGAAGTTCTTTTGATTGCAGATTTCCGTTAAATTATTCTAGTTGACAGCATAAAAACCTATTGATTTTCTATAAATTGTAATAAAAAATTAAATATTTTTTCTTTTATGCACATATACAGGGTGGGCCATTTGTGTGAGAAAGTAAAATAACTCCCTTATTATTCATAATACAGAAAAAAAGTTGTACAGAATCAAAAAACCTGAAGGACAAAATTAATTTGAAACACACAGGGCGATGAGTAAAAATGGGACACGCCAAATATTACATTTTTTAAATAGAACACTGTATATTTTTGAACATATGGATTTCCGAGAAAATTCTATACAGGGGTCGGCATAAGTCAGGCAACGCTCTCGAAAAATCGGTCCGGCAACGCTCATAAGTCTGGCAACACTGTCGAAAAAGATTAAAACGAAGCATGTTCGTGCTTCAGACAGTTGTGTTTGTGTCATGAATATGATAACACGTGCTCGTCGAGTAGACGCGTTTTCAAAATGAATAACCGATACAACTTCACGCTTCAAGAAAGAGTTTTTTTTGTTACCTCGCATCTGTGGACTGATATGTGAATAAAATAGAACAATAAAATACAGAGTGAAATTGAAAATTTGAAATTTGAAAAATTTTCAGAAAATCAAGTTTGAACTTTGTTAAAATGATCGTATTATAAAAAATGCCCTGTATAAAATATCGATATTAGTTAATATAGGAGTCTTTGCTAACATTTGCTTATAACTCTGTCAAATATTTTTGCTCCAAGTGTTAGTAGTTGAAAGATAATACAATTTCTTCGAGGTCATGTTTTTTCCAAAATTCAAAGAATTTTCTAAATAACTTGGTAACCCCGCACTAAAATGTTAAGTCTGTTTATATTGCCATATACCGGGGTCGGTATAAGTCAGGCTACCAATTTGCATTAAGAGAAAAAAATGCAGCCTCAAAATATATTTATTAAAAGAAATTACAAAAGGGATTCGAAAAAGGGTTACTGTAAGTGTTCAAATTGATGCCCATCTTGATCAATGCATGTACGGCAACGTTTCTCATCGGAGAGGCAGGTCCGGCGAAGCATGTCAAGCTGTCCGCGAAGAGTTTCAAATTCTTCTTCAATTGCAGTTCGGAGATCGGGAAGGGTGCGTGGTCCTCTTGCGAAACGCGGTCCTTGAGAAGGCCCCACAGGAAAAAATCACAGGGTGTCATGTCACATGACCGTGCGGGCCACTCAACGAATCCTCGTCTGCCTATTCATTCTCCAAAATGAACATTAAGGTACTCCCGCACACATAACGTGTAGTGCGGCGAAGCTCCATCCTGCATGAAATGACGGATGTTCGCGAGTGTTGGATCGTTGTCCATTTGTCCACGTAAATCTTCGAGCATTTCCAGATAACTTTGGCCCGTCACGTGACCCTCAAAAAAGTACGGACCCACGAGACCTCCAGCATGGATACCTGCCCACACACACAACCCAGGCAGGTTTAATTCTTTTTCCATGAAGACGTGAGGATTCTGGTCGTTCCAGTACACGCAGTTATGCCCATTGACCGTACCGTTCAGCTTGAAGGTTGCTTCATCCGTCCACAAAATGGAATGCTGGAACTGCAGATCATCCTGACTGCATCCGAGGTACCACTCGCAAAATTCCAATCTCCGATCGAAATCATCCTCGTGAAGTGCGTGGAGGAGACGCGGACAGTAAACTCGATAGTGCATGCGTTTCAGCATTCGTCGTAAAGAACGATCGGATATTTGAAGTTCTCCCAATAGCCGCATTGCAGATTGGTTCGGCTGCTCAACTAACGCCAGTGCCACTGTTTCAATATTTTCATTAGTTGTTACAGATACCGGGCGTCCAGAAGACGGCGCGTCGGCAACAGAGCCCGTTTTTAAGAATTTCTGGTACGTCTTCCACACTGTTGTACGATGTGGTAGCGGCGAGTTCGGAAATTGTTGTTGAAATTCGGTAAACATAGTTTCGTAATACGCGTTCGTACGCAGGAAGCTGGACGAAATACTGGAACTTATCTAACTTATCCTAAAAACCCTAAAATAGAACAATTACCTAAGTACTAGGAACTAAGAAATGTCTTTTAGTTGCAACTCACCTTCTGCAGAAGGGTTAAATTGAGGTAGCCAAAATTACCTTCGGATGTAAAGTAAATCTTGGGGCAAAACAAAATGAAATTTATCCTGGACGAACTTCTGCACAAAAAAAATTTGACAGAAAAGCGTCTCGAAAAACTTTTAGTGAGAGACTTTTGGATATAGACACATCGACAGTATACAATATAAGCACTAAAAGGTGGTTTTTCAAATCTCATGAAAATGGAAAACCGTAAAATTAATCACGATCCACCTATTGCTTTTCACTTCAAACCAAAACCCGTCTGTCTCTACCAGCTAGATGTTATTTTCTCAGAAGACCTAGAGGCACATATAGGCAACTTTACTGGTAAGAAATTGAAAATTACCACCACTACTTGACTCCAGAGCCTGAGAGGACAGCGATATGTGTCTGTCCTTTTTTAGCATCCATTTTGAAATTTAACAGCTGATACCGGGGCTGCATCATCATGTATACGTTACAATATAAACATTTTCAGTTTTGTCTAAAACATTTTATTGTTGAAATTCCTTCACTATTGTTGGTTGTTGTATCCAGAAGTATTAACATTGTTCTAATTTTAGAATTTTCAGAAAATGTAATAATGTGAATGAAGAAATTATATATTGCCAATGACATCAATTTACTAATGAACTACAAGAAAGGTGATTTACAGTGACAAAAAATGAAACCTCGAATTCTTTAGTGAATTTTAAGGTAGGTCTTTCTTATAAAGTTTTTGTCTAGGACAGTTCACTAAAACAATCCAGTGTTAAATTAATAGTTTTAATTTTTTATAACATTTTAGAAACTAGTGACTGAAATAATTTGAAATTAATCACATGAATTTATGAAAATATATATTGTACAAAATCGGAAGCATTTTCTTAAAAAATACTGTTCCAGTGGCTGAGATACAGGGCTTTATTATGATATTTTTGGATTCTCCTTACAATTTTCTACAAATCACCACCCCTTTATGTTTTCCGAAAAAAAATCTTATTTTCGCTGAACTGAAAACATTGTTTAAATTACAATAGAAACACTTTTTTTAATCTTTTATTTAATCGAATTAAAAACATCTCACCATTTTAATGATTTTATTTGAGTAAATGCTCAAAAATATCTCAATTTGCACAAACACAGCCTACTAATGTAACGATTAAACAGCATTGAAAACTCAGAAAAACATAAAAGAATAGTAATTTGTAGAAAATTGGAAGAGGAATGCGAAAATATCATGATTGTTATAAAATAAATACCGTGCACATCTATTTTTTAATTATTATTAGTTTTTAAAAAATTGAAATATTTTTTTAAGTTTAATACCCTGTATCTTTTTAACGAAACGTCCTAGATAAATGCTTTATATGAAAGAGCCCTCTTAAAATTCACTAAAGAATACGAGGTTTCATTCTTGGTCAATGTTTGTGACTCACCCTATGAATATAACGAGAAGTTATCATATGCCTCTTTATACCCAATAAACTTATTTTATACTCCTCGTATATGCAATAATTGACCTTGAAAGTGTTTCTTACTCCAAACACCGATGGCGTATTTAATGCATTTTTTCATTGAGTTGCCTATCTATTTCTTACATAGTATATCTTATCTATGCCTAGAGGACACTTTTTGTGGATATAATTTCAGCGATTTTTAGAAGTGGTGTGTTGGTTGTCTATCTTATCGAATACTTAAGATACTTAGTTAATAGCAGCAATCAGGAAAACTCGATGTCGGTGAAACAGAATAGCGTGTAAGTGCAATCCGAAAAAAAATTAAACATGACATAGAACTATACGAAGTAGAAAAACTTAATTAAAAGTAGTGATTAATAAACATACATACATTAATACTAATTAACTTATAAATAAGAAAAGTAGCATTTCAAAATGCTACAGACTCAGAACCCAACTAACTGATTTGAGCAAAATTTGCTATTGGTTAGTTTCTCTTCATTAAGTATGCAGTGATTATGTTGCTGTTAGGTTACCACATTCAGGGCATTCATTTTACTACAACCCTTTGTGAATATCTTCTGTAACTTTTTTTTACGTTTAAATTTTTACACGCTACTATTATAAATAGGTAGAGAATTTTATTCTACACAAAAAATGTATACCTATCAAAAGTCGAAATTATGCTCGGTTATGAAGATGTTCCAGAAAATATTTATTAACACACACCCCATATTTTTTGGAAATAACTACGTCACGATGTCACGAGCCGCCACTTCATACATCTATAAGCAGCAAATCTGCATTTTTTCCATTTTCTCAAAAACAATATGTAACAATTTTACATTACATTTTTAATAAGTTTTTAATGTTTTTTCTAGACCAGAAGGAAAAAAATATGAGAAGCAAACGTTAATGACTTTATATTCAGATTTTTTGCAATTAAATGTAATAAATATATTTACTAACCTGTCCTTCCTACACCAGCCGAACAATGAACAATAATTGGACCAGCATCAGAAGGATTTAGATTACGAACTCTCCTCAGGAACTGTAAGAAAGGGGCTGGATGATCTGGTACCCCATGATCCGGCCAAGCCGTAAATTGTAACTGCCTTATTTCTCTTCTTTCACTGTAGCCCTCTTTATGAATTTGAAAAGTCCTAATGCAATATGTCGCCAACTCCTGGAAATCAGTTAAAGTAACTGACATACTCCCATATGAATCAGTACCACGTGTAGGCCAATATTGATCACATTTAATTCGTGTGCGTTCTTCTAATTTTGTCATCATTACAATAGTTGCCGATTTTAATTCCCAACACATTCTCCAAAAATCAGCAAATGTTTCTTGCAAAGGACCCTGAGTTGCAACGTAAGCATTATGTTTGCGATACCCATCACAATAATTGGCATTAATATAATCTGAACCTAGGACACCGTTCTCATTCGGCAAAATTACTCTGCTGTGATCGTAAGCAATAACGTTAGCGTAACGGTTTTTAGGTTTGTTGACCTCCATATTTGAATGATCCCAAGTAAATTGTTGTCCCGGTTCTATACTCTCATATTCTTGTGAAAATTTTAGATTGTCATTAGCTTTTAGTCTTTCTATATGATTAGCCAATTCGAAAATTGGTATTGGAGGATGAGAAATCATAGCAGGAGTTTGAAAATTTATTCTACGTATTTCCACAGGATCACTCGGGGCGATGGTATTATTTATATCAGCTTGAATAAGAGGCCTCGTTACAGCCATTTGATCTGGCGTTTTGCAGCGTTGCCTTCTTTTACGCAATAAAAACAAAATTACTAAAATTACTGACAAGAGAAGTGCCGATATAATAGGACCTATAATCAATAATACGCCTGCCTCTTTTTGTTGTGAGCTCACTTTAACATCATTATCTGTAGGAATATTGGGATCAGGTCGTCGAGGCGGATCACCTGGAGGAACTTCACGCATGTCTAAAGATAAAAATTCTGAAAATGGACTACTAGTATATAAATGTTTTTGAGGCGTGTCTACAACCGATCGAACGAATATTCTATATCTTTTGCCATGTTCGAGTCTATAATTTACAAAACCATCGTTTCTTTCACCTGTTCCTAAATGATATGTATAAGGGATATTCCTTTGAGGAAATTTAGCTGCTATATAGGGTAAATTGGAATTTTGTGGAATTTTCTCCACATTACTAATTAATTCATCTGTTAGAAATTGATCAGGATTTTTTTGAACCGTCAGTTCATTTTCAGGGACTACAACTAAATAGTAATGACTAATTGGGCCATATTCTTCGGAGGCTTGAGGTAAAATAACATGAATCTCTTCACCGTTAACAACACCGTAAAAATCTGGTTTTACCATGGGTTGAGGTGCAGCCATCTGTGTTGTAACAGTTATTTTTGTTGGTGGACGATATGAATTATCGGTCGGTATTGCGCTGACATTAACATTGTATGTTGTAAATGGTGATAATTCGTTAATAGTATGGGATCTTACATCATCATTTAGTTTAATTTCTACCTTAGGTATAATTTGCGTTTGAGTTATGCCCTGCGAATCAACAAATTCTTTTATAGCATCAAATGATATTTTGTATTTCACTGGGTTTAATCTTATTGGTGGTGACCAAGACAATGTCATCGAATGTGTAGTAACTTCATGTGCCCGCAAATTGAGTGGCACATCTTCAGGTTTAACTTTCACTGTTACTTTTTCAGATAATCGTCCTAAACCATTTTTCATTTTAGCTGCAACCGCTATGGCATATTGGGCATACTTTTCCAAATTAACTAGGTCCGCGGATTCTGTCAGCCCTACAGATTTTTGTTGCCATTCATCTAAATCTTCTACTGCAGTCATTGTGTAAAAAATTTTATAACCGATAACTTTTCCTCGTGTACGAACTGCTTCCCACCAAACCTCAACACTTGAATCTGATGTTGCAACTGCCTTAACAGACATTGGAGCCCTTCCGATATCTCTCTCTGTTTGAATTGAAATTTTCTCACTACTAGGTCCAACACCTTGACTAGTATATGCCCTAACGTGAAAGACATATTCGGTATTTTCTTCGAGATTTGTAAAAACCGCCTTTGTATGTGTTACATTACGAACAATTATATTATTATGATCAGATTTTTTTTGAAACTGAATATCATATTTCAATATTTGCCCATTTCTGTGTTCACGTGTCGGTGGTGACCACGAAATACAGACAACATCAGGTGTTTGGAAATGGTAAGTAATGTTTGTTGGAGGCCCAGTAGGGGGACCTTCTGGAGTGTGCATATATTTTATAGCCTCTTGACCCACTCCAATGTGATTTTGACCAGCTACTCTAAATTCATATTCTACACCTCGCTCTAGGTCATTTATTCTGTAGTTTGTGATATGTGAACCTAAAATAATATAAAAATTCTCATATGGGAAATAATATACAGGTATAATTTCATGACATATAAATCTGTTCTAAATGAATTAATAATTAAGCGAAAAGGTCTCCTAAGCTTGGAGACAGTCGGTTACTGTTGGCGAAGTATAATAATAATAATAATAATAATAATAATAATAATAATAATAATAATAATAATAATTATTATTATTATTATTATTATAAACAAATATAACTTATTTTTAAAATTTCTCATAATTTTGTTAGTAGGGTAAACATGTATATGGCGTCCACAAGGAAGTGGAGAAACTATAAGGAAGCATTTCACGGGTAAAAATAAACAAAAAATTTATAGAAAACTTGGTACAGAAATTTACCAATTTTGAGATATACTCCTTTAAATAATCATTTAAATATTTCAAGAATATACCAAAATTTTATATATTTATTTATATTTTTTATATATTTTGTAAAGCATAATTTTTATGCCTAACTTTTTTGAAATATTATTGCGTATTTGGTTAAAGCAAAAAAAAAAATTTGAAAAAAAAGTACTGTATATTTTTATACAGGGTGATTAATTAACAATGGGAAAATCGAAAGCTGAAAATACTACACGTAAAATGGTGACCATTGGCGCAAACATGCCTTATCCGAAAGTTGATAGTTTCGGAAATACAGGGTGTTGAAAGTTCAAATTTTAAGTCGTTTTTTTTGCGATTATTCTGAAAATATCTAGGTTAGGAAATTGAAAATTTGTGAAATAATATTTTTTTAAGCGACGAATAAGATGCGTGTTGCAATTTCAGCATTGCTCATAGAGGGCGCCACTTACTACCAATTTTACCAAAAATTTAGTTAATAACTTTTTACCCTGTATTTCTAACATGAAACTTGATTCAAAATCTGAAAGACCAATCATTTTTCCATTAATTATGTATTTTTGTTTCATTTCGGTATCTCGATCCACTTTCGAGAAAAATAGATTTAACGATCACTATGTTTTGATAATACGAGAAATTAAAAGCGAAACAAACTAAGTGTTTCTTCATATTATTACAGCAATTAATAATAAAACAAATGAAATGCCTACGTAATAATGTTTTAAATTAATTGTTCGAAGAATCCACTGTTAACATTGATACACTTTACACAACGTTTTCTGAGAGATCTTCGAGTTTGAAACAACATATTTGGAATTGCGTCTGACTTCGTTGGCAGCGATTTGTATTCTTTGCCACAACTCATCATACGAACCAATAGATTTTTTGTAAACCATATCTTTCATTCGAGACCAAATAGAAAAAAAATCAAGAGAATGAATTCCGGAATTCTGGATGGCCAAGCAAAAATGCTTCCACGGCTTGAAGAAGTTCTACTTTATTTAAGAAGAGGCATGTGGTTCATGCACAACAGAGCTCCACCGGCCAGTGAGCGCATATTTAGATGCAGTTTTTCCAAATCACTGGATTGGCCATGTAAGCATTTTTGCTTGGCCACCCAGAAGTCCGGACTTCAATCCTCTTGATTTTTCTTTTTGGTCTCGAATAAAAGAACAAAAATCTATTGGTTCGCGTGAAGAGTTGGCAAAGAAATCGCTGGAAATGAAGTCAGACGCAATTCCAATATGTCGTTTCTAACTCGAAGATCTCTCAGAAAACGTTGTGTAAAGTGTATCAATGTCAATGGTGGATTCTTCGAGCAAATACTTTAAATCATTATTACATATTTCATTTGTTCTATCATTAATTGTTGTAATAACATGAAGAAACACTTAGTTTGTTTCGCTTTTAATTTCTCGTATTATCAAAACATAGTGCTCGTTAAATCGATTTTTCTCGAAAACGGATCGATATACTGAAATGAAACAAAAATACATAATTAATGGAAAAATGATTGCTCTTTCAGATTTTGAATCAAGTTTCATGTTAGAAATACAGGGTAAAAAGTTATTAACTAAATTTTCGGTAAAATGCTGAAATTGCAATACGCATCTTATTTGTAGCTTAAAAAAATATAATTTCACAAATTATCAAGTTCCTAACCTAGATATTTTCAGAATAATCGCAAAAAAACGACTTAAAATTTGAACTTTCAACACCCTGTACTTCCGAAACTATCAACTTTCGAATAAGGCATGTTTGCGTCATTGGTCACCATTTTACTTGTAGTATCTTCAGCTTTCGATTTTCCCATTGTTAATGAATCACCCTGTATTTTCATATTTTCTTTCATCGGATCGGATGCTTCATGAGGGGGGGGGGGTTAAATAATCATTGCTGCCAATGCAAAAAAAAATTCTTTATAACTAGAAAGTAAGTAGATTGAGATACTTGGTTGTAGATATTGAATAAAATCGAGTTTAAAATATTTATAATTATATATTTACATTTCTCAAGTATTATTTTTTACCCCATGTGCATAAATAAATGCCATGAGTTGCAAAAGACACTTGGCAACAGCGCTAGTTTATTATTTGTAAGTTGGCAGTCCTTGTCATGTATATAGGTATACATTATGTTATGCGATCGCTCACACAGCTTATTGCTTTAACCTATAATAATAATAATAATAATAATAATAATAATAATAATAATAATAATAATAATAATAATNAGTGTAATGAAGCCTCTTTTTAAACTAATCTCATGCTAATAAGTATTTTCAATTAATTAATGTATTTTGTTTTGTAACATTAATTTATAATAGATGTCTTGAAAAAGGAAATAAACATTTCCGAAAGAGCGGCGATATTGTAGATTTTGTATCCGACTCGTAATGACTTAGTACTCTTATTATGTAGTTTTTATTTAGTTTTTACAATACTTATACACAGATACACGCGTACTCAACATCTTTCGACAGCCATCTTGTCTACATATCTAACCTGTATATGACATAACAAAAACAAAATCCCTATGCTGTCAAATTAAGATTTCAACACACCCCCCATTTTGACAAACAAAAATAAAAATAAAAATGAAATTTTCTATTAAAGTTCATTTTCCTTCAATCCAACGTGTTTCTTGCATTTTCCTAAGATTGACTTGTTCACAGCTTTCGTTAGAAAGTCAGCCGTGTTGTCCTTATTTTCAATGTACTTTAAATTAATTTTATTTCTTTCTATTTCATCTCTTATGAAAAAATATTTTCTTTGAATGTGCTTCGTCCTTGAATGATAAGCACTATTGGTTGACAATTTAATTGCTGCCTGGTTGTCTGCATAAATTGTTAAGTTGTCGAGTTTCTCTTCTTGGTTTAAATCAACCAAAACCTTTTTTATCCATATAAGTTCCTTAATTGTCTCTGTTAAAGCCATAAATTCACTTTCGCAGCTACTTAAAGCAACAACTTCCTGTTTCTTGCACTGCCAAGTAATGGCTCCTTCTGCCAATTTGCTTACATAACCAGAAAAACCCTTTCCGTCCAAATTATTGTTCCAACTAGCATCACTGTATATTTCTAACGTTTTTCTGCCCCGCTTGTACGTTATTCCTTCTGTTATTGTCCCCTTTAAGTAATGTAAAACTTGTTTTGCTTGAATCCAGTTTTCTTTTGTATATTTATTGTTAAACTGGCTTAAAAAAGTGGTCGCATATGTAATGTCTGGTCTCGTTCCTTGTGAAAGATAGATTAAACTTCCTATTAGCTCTTGATATGGCACATTATCTGATACTGCTGTTGTATTATTTTCTTTCACATCATTTGGTTGCATTGGCACATTTGACGTTTTGCATTCATTCATATTAAATCGTTGCAACACTTTATTTATGTACTTCTCTTGTTTTATGTGCAAAATTTTTTTCTCCTTATGTCTTTCTATTTCCCATCCAAGTAAATACTTTACCTCTGCCATAAATTTGATGTCAAATATTTTACTTAGTATATTAATCTTCTCTAATGCAGTTTCTTTTGAGTTTGTAGCCCATAAAATATCATCTACATACAAACACATAATCATATAGATATTGTATTTCTTGTAAAGAAACACACAGGGAGTAGATTCTATTTCTTTAAACTCTAGTTTTTCTAATTCCTTTTTGATAGTCAAGTACCACACTCTAGCACTTTGTTTTAAACCGTAAAGTCCCTTTTTAAGTTTACACACTTTTTTAATTTTATTTTCATCTAATCCTAAAGGTATTTCCATATATATTTACTCTTGTAGTGTACCGTTTAGATAAGCTGCAGTTACATCCGTTTGATAAAGATCAAGATCACATTCTGTAGCTACAGCAAAAATCATTCTTAATGTGTTTAATCTTATGACAGGTGCAAAAATCTCATCATAATTTTCTCCTTTTACTTGATTGAAACCTCGTGCCACCAGTCGTGCCTTGAATTTATTAATAGTACCGTCACAATTTTCTTTTATTTTAAAAACCCATTTTGAGTCTATGGTTTGTTTATTTTTTGGTCTATTTACTATATCCCATGTTTTATTTGTAGAATGAGACATTAATTCTTCATGTATAGCTTTCATCAATTCAGATTTGTTACTTGAAGTGATGGCTTCTTCATAACATTTTGGTATATTGATATAATCAACAGCTAGATTTATTTTATTCCCTTGTAGTCGATTTGAACGTCTTACAATTTCTACTTCTAAATTTGGTATATTAGGGTCATAGTCAGGATCAACATCACTGGTGTTCTTGGCTCCATCATCTGGTTCGGATTCTTCCGATTCCAAATCATAACTAACCTCACTTTCTTCCACGTCATTTTCTGTTGCTCCTTCTCTATTTTCTATCACTGGTTCTTCTTCTTCCTCTATTTCCTTCTGTACCTTTTCCTCCGTTAGGTCAAGGTTATATCTTATATCTATATAGTTGTAGTTCTCAGAAATTTTTATTAATATTCCACTACCCTTTTTATCTTCTATAACTTTTGCATCTCTTACTGTAATAACTGTGTTTCTTTCTTTACAAAAGAGCCTATAATGCTTTGTTAGGTGACTGAAACCTAAAAATATAGCTTCTTTCGAGACAGGATCTAATTTTCTTC